GACATGTTCACATTTCTCCATCCCAAACAAAACATCCTTATCTGTTAAAGTAATATGGAGATTTCTTTGATGAAAAAAAAGTGACATATCTCTCCAAAATATTTTTGTATAATTACAATCCCAAAAAAGATGAATAAGCTTTTCTTCATTATTTTTACAAAAAGTACACATTGGGTCCAAATCCCATTTATATCTCTTTATCAAAAATGCATTAACAGGATAAACATTATGAATAATTTTATAAGAAATTTCTCTTATTTTGTTGTTTATTAAGTATTTTTAAGGACAAACCAAGTCCACTTCCAATTTATATTTTCAAAAATGTTGGACCAATAAAATACACAAGCTGGTGAAAAAGCAACATCTCGTAATAGAATATTTCCTAATCTTTTGTTTGTTGTTTTCTTACTTATAAAAGGACAATCATAATCAATATAAATGGAGTTTGGACCAAAATTTGGCACTGAGTGAATTTGATGTGTAGGGAAAGATGATAAAAGCTTTAATGACCCACTGGGGATTGCGTCAAACACAACAGCATATTCTTTAGGGGTAACAGGAAATTAGAAAAGTAACATAAAGTCAGAATAAGATAATAAATGACCATTTGGATTTAATAATTGGTTTACAAGTAATATTCTCTTATCAAACCGATTTCTATAAAAGATTCCTCGGGCTCTATTATTATTATTGTCGTCTATGGGCAGACCCATCAGACGCTACGCTACGTATCACGTGTTTGTATTAGCCAATAAGCGTCGAGTTGATGGCTACGCGGGCAGCCATTGGTCGGTTCAAAGTAGAGCAGTCTTTTTAAACGTTAACGTTGAGCCCTACAACGGTCGCTGTGCTTTTAGTTATTGGGGAACAAATCAACACTGTGGGTCAGCGGAGGAGCGCGGTGTGTTCAGGTTCGGCAATAGGTACATTCTGTTCCACAGATTTGCTATTTTTAAGGATATTCTAGCCCAGCTATGCGTTACTTGAACGGTGGAGTTAGCTTTTAGGCGGTAATTTGAGTTGCATTTTTGTCGTTTTTGAATGTCTTCTACTTTTCCTTTGGTAACCGAAGGGGGAGGTTAAGGCGTTTAGAACCACTTTTGTTATTGACCAAGTTAAACCGATTTCATTTTCAATATTAGGCATATCGAAAAGGATTGAAATTTGTTGCATTTGTTTTAGACTAGCTGTTGAAGCTGATTCGTTATAATGGCCGACAATGACTCTGTGGATGCTTCTGGGGTCTATGATTTCGACGCCCCGTCCCATGTTGACTTCATCGAGCTTTTAGACGCAGAAACCGACGACCAGTGGTTTGGTAAGTTTCTAATATTTGGCCTAATCAAACGTCTGGGTTTAGTTTACTAAACCCTTTTTCCTTTTATTTCTCGTCCTTTTGTTTTTAAAATTGGCCACTTCCTGTTTGAGCCGAGCTAAATTGCAGGACTGTTAAACTGCATAGATTATTGAACTGAGAAAAGGACATTAAATGACTTGGTGATAAGTTTTTGTATGAATGGAAATTATTTCTCTAGGCAAAGAAAAACCCTTTACAGAAAACGTTGTGTAAAAGCAGTGGTTATAATTCTTCCAGTTTTAATTTGCTTCTCCTGAAAGATAAAAGTATTAGGAAACATAACATCACTGTGTTAACTTTTTTATTTTTTCTACAGAAAAACAAGCTAAGGGAGCAGATGCTAGCCCTGCCAGATCAGACCAGCAGTTAATGGAGACTGCTCCTTCTGAGGCGTATGAGAACCAAGCAGAGGAAGATGTGGAATCTGGTTAGTGTGTCTATGTTTCTGAATACAGGGTTAGACTTTTATCTCTTAGTAATAAATAATAACCTCTCTGAGACTCATGTGGACTGATCACTCTGTTTTAGGTCACAGCCAAACCAGTGATCCCCCATCAAATATTGTCACCTCCTGGGGTGAACCTCAGAAATCTATCAGGTCAAAGAGAAGCCACGCTAATGAACACCCTACACAGCCTGGCAGGTACAGTATTCACTAGAGTTTATGAAATGATTATTAGATTTGTGTCTTAGATTTAATGTGAAAGGTAGCGATGAATCCAACAACATTTGGACAAGAAGGTGAAAGAGAACATTTTAACCAGTCACTGAATATTGTATATTGGCAATAAACCACATCTCTATAAAACATTTAGACATTTATGTTTATTCCTGTTTAATTTGGTCCCATTAAGAGAATTGCATTTTAAATTTTCTCATTGTGTCATCCTTTTCCTCTCGGTTATCACTCAACTTATCTGAATTAAAGTTCATTTCAAATTTACTCTTAGTTTATTTACTGTTTTTACTGTACTTATTGTTTTTAAATTATGATTTAAAAACCTAGTTCACAAGCATCCTCATTCACATTTTCCCCTAAAATTTGTTATGTTATGATATATGTTTAGATTTGTTGGCTGCATCTAAAAATACCAAACATATTTTCAGTTTAAACGTAGATATGAAATACAATATAACTTACAATGATTTAAGTTATATCATTGTATTAGGTCATGAAATCAATTCAGTTTAGTCTGTCAAGCTGCATGTAGTGTCTTTAAATGTCCAGCAGGTGTCAGTATTCCGTGAGACAGTATCAACGCTGTATAAATACAGTTTGGCAATGTATTGAAACCCTAAAAGATGCCTTTATTAACCAATCACTAGTGAAAGGACTTAACTGTAAACGGTTATAAAACTTAAAAAATTGTATTTTATATCTTAGGGTTTCAAAGCGTAAAGAGATGACTTGTACTTCTCCTGCTCCTCCGTTCAAGAAATCAAAAGGGTAAGTAAATGACTGAAATCAAGCTGACTCACTAGACCTCAAAGTTCTTAAGTTTTATTCTTGATTTCTAATTGTTCTAGGAATCCTGTTGCTCCAAAATCCAAAACTGGCCAACTGCCTTCCAGAGCCAGTTTTCGTAGGAGTGAGAGGCTGAGTTCAAAGATGACTCAAAAGGCCCCCTCCACACAACAAGGGTGAGTCTGAAACCAGAGAGCAGCATCCGTCCACTTGCCTTTTGGTATTTGTTGATTACACACACACCTTTTTAATTTCTGTGGACTTGATGAAAAGACTCACTGCATCCGATAGAGAATTGGCTCTAATCTCTGCTAAAGTCACAATAACTGGATATCGACCCCCATCCATGACGCTCATATTTTGGAATATGCCACTTAGTTCTACCCTTTAATTCTGATAATGTCATAATTGTAATAACGTTGGAAATTTTTCTGAAGTCTTGATCAATGAAGTTTTGGAACGTAAAGAATATTTTAATACCGGTATGTAGTAAAATCATGTCAAGAAATGTCTCGTCTTCTGCTTCATCCGGGTCACGGGGGGCCACAAGCTTCAGCAGAGCCTCCAGACTTTCCCTCTTTGCAGACACGACCTACAGCTCTGCTGGGGGAACCCAGAGACATAGACCCACCAGCGTCTCCTGGGCCCTGTCCTGCTGGAACGGGCTTTGAACGCCTCATGAGGGAAGAGTTTAGAAATAAATGCTTTTCAAATAGCATTTCTTTGCTAAACATTTGTCACCTACAAGGTCACCTTACAAATCAAAGTCATGACTCTCTTGTGGTGACGATGATTTCCATTTTCAAAGTATTAAATTAATTCATGACGTCTTCATTACATGAGTATCAAATAAAGATCCATTTAATAATTAAAATAATTATTGAACCTCTTCAGTGTTTGAAAATTTGAGATGGAGAACACAGACATTGCTGTAAAGGCTTCAGAGAGCCTGTTCAGAATATCTAACTGGTTCCAGTGAATAGTATTCACTTTAGCCCCATTTACACTGCCCTCTGAAAATCGATCCATGCTGCGCTCAGTTCCTTAAAGGAATAGTACACCCAAAACATGATTAGCCGGCTTCCGTAGGCTCGTGATCGCGCAGGTGCGCGCTTTCAGGAAATCGTATACACTACTGTTTATGCTCTAAAAACATTCTAAATGACTTCGTTTCGAGTAAATT